TGATCAAATTCGAGGGGTACTCTACAATGGCGTCTCTTCTGGCGGCAATACATCTTCGGCGACGAACTGCAGAGTCGTGCGGGTGGCCCAGCCCAAGAGGCCGAGGCAACCAGGCCTGAAGGGATCTGCCCCAAGCCGGAAGGCGGGGTTCTTTTCCGCCCCAAACCAGTGGGCCGCGAGCCAAGATTCGAGAATGCGGGTCCTAGAAAGCTGCTAGGGTGGTCGATGAACGATCCTCGCAGACCGCCTGTGCAAAAGGAATCAAGCACCATTCCGTGTCGACGCAAGGAATACGCCTGCCGCGTCGACATGAAGCGCTCCTCGTTCAAAAATTAAAGATTCCAAACAACGGCGACGAAAAGCTCTCGCTCGTTTTTCGAGGCACAATCCCATCCCGCACGACAGCCTAAATTATTATTCAGGCTTGAAAAGGAATCCATCTCTTCGAGCCAGGTTCCCAGTTTTGGCAAAAAAAACCGCGTCAAATCGGGCCAAGGCCTAGCAGTTTAGGCGAGCCCAACCTCTTGAGGCCAGGTTTCCATTTTTGGGCGAACCGCTCAAATCGGGCGAGCCTAGCAGTTTAGGCGCAGAGCCCCACTCTGTGAGCAAGGTACTCAATTTTGGCGAACCAAGGGCACCTGGCGAACTCTGCAGTTTAAGAGGGCTTCGTCAAAACAAGCGAACTTCACCAAGCTCGCTCTGACGGCCTAAGATCGCCAGAAAGGCGAAGCAACAGCTCGCCAGACAGGCACAGGCACACTGTCCAATCTCGCCTGACGGGCGAACTCGGCCAGCATGAACCTCGCCAACACGCTCACGCCCAAATGGGGGTGGCCACCTCGTTTGCGCTGCACGGGTCCTGACGTCCGTCTCTGACGACGACGACGACGACGATTGCTTAGCAGTGGCAATGTCGGGAGACTTCAAGCTCAGTTCAGGGCAAGCACACAAATGTGCACATGACTGACATCCCTGAGGAGATGTCTAGGAGGCTCGACGAGCAACAAGCAACCATCGACTCCCTGAAGGAGATGTTTGAGCAGCTCCTGAGCGAGAAGAAGAGGAAGAGAGAGAGGACTTCGCGGGCTCGCGATAAATCCTGAAGCACAAGAGCGGGTGCCTACTCCTTCTCACTCCTCATCCGAGTCATCTAGAGGAGCGTCATCTTCGGGCCATAACCAAGAGACAAGAGGTTTTGACGATCTCCAAAGTCAACTCGACGCCTTGAAGCTCCAGAAGGCATGCGAACAAGCTGGGGGTTTGTCAGACCGTATCCAATTGAATGGGATGCGGTCTTCTACGCCGGCAAAGTTCGAGCCGCTGGACCTCCTGCAGTTCAATGAAATGGTTCTCCTACCCAGCACATCTACTACTTCCAGGCCGGCAAAAACTGGACAGCATAGTGGGAAACGATCCCATTATGACTCGACTGTTCATATGGTACCTCAGGGGGTCGCTTTTGAATGGTTCGGCAGATTGGAGCCTGGGTCGGCATCGCTGCTGGAAGGATATGGAAAGGCTCTTCATGGCCAGATTCTCGACGATGACACAGAAGTATCTATGCCACCATGCTAACTGTGAAGCAGAGGAAGACAGAGTCTGTAAGCAGCTTTGTCAAGAGATCAGAAACCGATCGTGTGCATTCCTCGATCGAGTTTCGCGAGGCCACGCTCATCGAGATGTGCGCGGAACAATCTCTCGCTCAGCGTTCTGTCCAATATGGGCGCTGTTGAAGCTCGCTCATGCGAAAGACTTACTCCGTCAAGGAGAACAAGTCGAGAAGCATGCTCAAGCATATGGGTGACGAAGACGCGCATGAATTTCGAGGAGGGATGTTTATTATCATGTCTACTATCATTCTCCAAAGTTTTACATTTTTTGGAATTTATTTGATATTTTTAAACAGGGTTTTAAAATCAGCTCTAAACCGATTTTCTGGAAATGTTCAGTTTTTGGTCGAACGCGGTACGGTCGACCGGTCAATGATCATTCGTCAGTATTTTTCGCAGAGAATCGTCGGTCGACCGGTCCGGTCGACCGCAAGAGCTCAAATCGTCGACCGACAGAATTTCGGTTCGACCGACGTTAGTCGGCAGAAAGTTTTCTTCGTGTTTTTGGCTCTCATCGTCGACCGACGGAATTTTCGTGCGACCGACAATATAGCGTTGTCTTTTTAACGGCTCTTTCTCTGAGCTGTTTACTGGGGTTTTTGTGTCATTTTGTTTTGGGGGTTTTGCTGAGATTTCTAGTGGGTATATATACCCCATTGCTGATGTCTTTTAAAACTAACCAAGAGAGTTTTTTAACCAAGTTTAAAAAGAGTTTTAACAAGGGTTTAGTTTGGTTTAGTGTTTGTTTAAAAAGCTTTTAAGCAATTGAGGGTTTTAGTTTGTGAAGGCAAATTTCACAAGAGCAAAGAGGAGATCATGCCTTTGGTGTTTGGGCATTCAACTCATCTCTCTCTCACTCTTGATCTATAGAGAAGTTTTCCGTTAAACTCAATTCTAGCTATTTATTGGCTTTGATCTTAATTTCCATAAGCTAGATTTCTATATTGAGTTTAATTTGTTTTATTGATACTCTTTGTTCACACACAACCTATTGAGCTTATTGTATTTACATTCATAGTATAATTTAGGGTTGTGGGTTTGTGACATTGAGAGTGAGCTTAATTGAGTTCTCACCTTGTTTGAGAACAATCATTTGTCATATTTGTGCTTATTGTGAGAATCACTTTGTAATACACTTGTACACCGAGTGAGGAGTGTGTGGTGAGAGTCGGGGATCGTCCCAAGAGGAGTGACGTCGGTTGACGTGCCTAGGGAGAGGTTGTAACCGAGCACTTGAGGGAGACACGGCTAGGTCCACACTTAGTGGGTGTAGAGTGTGATTGCGTAGTGTGAGTTGTAGAGTTTTCGGTTAACTAGAAAACCGAGTGTGTAGAAGAGAGTTCCGGCTTCCAAACCGGATTGTGTTAGTGGATTTCTCCCCGGGAGTGGGGAGTGGGGAGCGGAGACGTAGGACGGAAGGTCCGAACTCCGTGATCATATAGTGTGTTTGAGTGTGCTTTGGCGTTCATTTATATTCATGCTCATATCTTATATCGCCATTGTCATTTACTCTTAGTTCATATTATCCACTATCTTGTTTATCTTATTTATGTTTATATCACCCTTTGTTTTATATCCCTTGTTATATTGTTATCTAGCTCACATATATTATTGTATTTCATACTTGCTAGGATAACTCATTAATTAATTTTAATTGGCATTTAAATCGGATTAGATTAGCATAAGACCCTAATCAACCCCCCTCTAGGGTCTAACAGTTTTTGGGGTTATTGGAGTACAGAAAAGAGAGATCTTTCTGAGGTATTAGTTAGGGTTATTGTTTGAGAGATTGAGAGCTTTGTTGGTGAGATTAGTTGGTTTGTTTTGAGTGATTTGTAATCTCAGCTTGTACTCTTCTTCTCTATTAGTGAAAACTCATCCCCTTCTTATCCCGTGGACGTAGGCAACTTACCGAACCACGTAAAAATTAGTTGTTTGTGTTTGTGCCATTGTTTTTATTGTTTGACTTTCTCTCTTGGCTTTTGGTTTGGTTCCTCGAAGCATAACGATTGGTGGCTTCTGCGCAAAACAATGTTGGATGTAGGAGAATTATGTTTATTTTCAGTATAATGGTCTTTCAAGAGTTAATTCAATTTGCACGTAATCTTGTATTTTTTAGCCCGAAAGATAAAGGAAGAATTAGAAGCTGAGCAACAACAGAGAAAATTGGCGGTCAACCGATGGGGTCAAATCCTGTTCGGATTAGGATTCATGTTTCTATGGTATTTCGGATGAAACACTAGAAATACGTGTCTTCAAAGATCTAGGGTTATCAGGGAGCCAGCTGTGAATTGTAAAGAGTTGAAGACGATTGTAGAGAGGAAACAAATGGGGGGAAATCCTAGAGTTTTGCGAGGATTTTGTGTAAGATAGAAAGGATGATTTCTTTGGTTTCTTAATTTGAAGAGCACAAGAAAGCTCATCTCTCTCTTCACGGACATAGGAGATTGTCAAACCATGTAAATCAGTGTTTTAAGCTGCGAATTGTAAAGAGTTGAAGATGATTGTAGATAGGAGACAAATGGGGAAAATCCTAGAGTTTTGCGAGGACTTTGTGTAAGTTAGAAATGATGATTTTTTTGGCTGCTTTGAAGAGCACAAGAAAGCTCATCTCTCTCTCTCTCTCTCTCTCTCTCTCTCTCTCTCTCTCTCTCTCTTCGTGAATATAGGAGATTGTCGAACCATGCAAATCAGTGTTTTTGCATACTTTTCTGCGATGTTGTTCTTGTTTCTGCTTTTTTGATTTTCCCTTTTTGGTCTTGCCCTCTTACAAGTACATTGTTTGTCCAAGTTAGAAGGAGTAGATCTAGTTGGGTAGATCTGATAGATACTTCCACATCATTGTACGTGATCTATTACACAGTTGTTACCATAGCCGATTATCTCAACAAGATCTAGAGAAAAATAGTGTCTCACTCAAACTATATCTGAAACTTCACCGAGAGAAATATAGATAATGTAAAAAAGATGACCCGATAAAAAATTTCCCTGAACAAATGAAATAAACACGAATACTAAATATCACCGCAATAGGCAATACTTAATGTTTTTTATCTTTTAAAAGTTCAGAGGCTTCGAGCATCGTAGGTGACCTGGATGGTTAGGCGGTTCCAATATGGCTCAAAGTTTAGATGTTCCTCACTCCCAAAAATTAAGGGGCTTTTGTCTAATTTTAAAATTTCATGATCATTTTGTACAAACCACCTCAAAGTTCAAGGAGTACTTTTCTGAAATTTATGCTAGCAGTTTACTTCGATGAATTCCACGTGCTGTTACTCTATAGGCCTTGATAAATTCCATCTTACCCGGTGCGCGCTCAAAAGATAAGGTCGCCGTAGCGCACACTAAAACCTTCACCTCCTCCGTCCAATCTCCCTGTTACTCTATAGGCCTTGATAAATTCCATCTTACCCGGTGCGCGCTCAAAAGATAAGGTCGCCGTAGCGCACACTAAAACCTTCACCTCCTCCGTCCAATCTCCCGCCGGTAAGTTCACCGGCCGGTGATGCGATCTCAGTCCGATGGCATTACTCGTAAATCGCGTTCCCTTTCTCTCTCTTCCTAAAAAATCTCTCCCGTCCCCAAACAAATCCCCTCAAAATGCGACGAGAAATCGCAGAGCTCTCGTTGCTAGGGCAACGGCGGATGGAAATTTGAGCACCGTTCTCGTCACCGGCGCCGGAGGTAGAACTGGTAATTCTTTGCCGACCCCGTTCTCATTGTGAAAATTTTGGATTTTGGGAAAATGTTGACGAGATGTATGCGCTAAACTAATTAGACTCCTTAATTAGCCAAAAGCCCAAGATTCAATTAGGTACCAAAAACTTGGAATCTTTGTGGGTACATTACACAAAACTATGACGAACTTGGGGGGTTTTGCATAAAAATACAATGAACTTGTTACCAGAGAAAACTATCATGAACTTTGAGAAGTGCAGAAAAATACCATGATCCATTGAAAATTGTTGCTAAAGGGTCTAAACGATTTTCAAGGATAGGAAAATAATTAAGGGCATAATTATCCAAAACATGTCATTGTGAAGCACGTGACAACTTATCCTAACTATCGTCAAGCATGAAAGTTTAGCAGAAAAGATTCATGATGGATTTCTCCTAGGGCAGTTGGTCACCTTGAACATTTTCATTATGATTGGGATAATGGTTGGAGTGGGATAATTTTTGGAAAGTGGGATTTTTGGGAATAACTTTTTGAAGTGGGATATCTTGTAGGATAGTTTGTGTTATTGAGAAGTATATAATTTATGCATTTTGATGATATAACTACGATTATATATTTTTAAACTTGCTATTACTGATTAATAGTTGTTTTTTATGATCTTAGTTACTGTGGAATAACTTTTGGTAACAATACAATTTATTGTTAATAACTATTATAGTAATTTGTAAGTTTTTTTCTTTTAAATTATTATTATAGTACAAGTCTAAGAAATATTTTTTTTCTATTTTCTTCCTTATTTTACTCCTCGAAATCTCTTTATTTCATATATCAATTTAAATTTTGTTTTTTAAATTATGAAGCTATTAATTTTCACTTTAAATTAATTATAGATATATAATATTTGGTCAAAAAAGAAAAATAGCATATAATAAGAGGAGTAAGAGGAGAGATGGTCCAATCTGATGGCGTGGTCTGATGATGGTGGTGACCATCGGAGGTAGAGAGAGAAAGAAGAAAAGGAAAGAAAATATGAAAAAAATAAAAGAAATAAGAGACCTCTGCTTTTTTCACCAATTAGTTCTAGGTTAAATTTTGGGATAGACTAGAACTCTTACATTTGTATAGAGAAATGGAAAAGATAGGATACTTTTGTACAATATTCCTAGTTCTAATTTCATTCCAGTTCTAATTGACTAACACTATAATTTTTTCCCTAGTTCTAGTTCTAGTTGACTAAACAAATAATCACAGTTCTAATTTTTTGTACTACTAGACTAACCCCCAGTAAAGAAGATAATAATAGTTTTTTTGCGAAACCATCAAAATTTATGATAGTTTATTGAAATTGCTTTTTTTTTTAAATCTATTTATGAGATTTGGGTCTAGATTTCTACGATAGCATTCTATATGCATGAAAATTTAAAAATTTTAGAATTGACTTATAAAAACTTTATAACAGGGTCATAGAATAACCATCTGTATCAACCATTTTTCAGATTTATGATTCACTTTGTCGCTTATTCGTTTTCTGGCAAAATGAATATCCATGTTCATCAAATTGAAATATGGATACGAATATGGATAATGCTTAACTATCCTAAATGTATTAATAGATGTTTGAAAATTTGAATACCTATCGAAGTATATAAACTATGAGCTTCCTATAAAATAAAAATTTCATCCAATATTACTCAATGTACATACAGAGGTTTTCATCAATATACATATTACTAAATGCTACCTGTTTTTCCTTTTGTAAATTGACTTTCAATTATATCCAGCTAGTATTCACATTCAATCTGAATTCATATTCATTTGTATCCATTAGGGATAGTGATATATGTATGTGTGTGCTTATCACACACACACACATCCCTACAAATCAAGTAACTCTATTCAATAATATCTGTGTCCACAGTGACTGAGTATAATTCTGACAGATGTCCATGACCAAATCAAAAATTCAAATTCTTACAGATGTCCATGACCAAATCAAAATTTCAAATTCTTACAGATGTCCATAACCAAATCAAAATTTTTTCACTCTTATTTTGAAATTAGATGCTCTTATGCATTAACTAATATTAGACAATTTTTCTCTCTAGGTAAGGTGGTATACTGCATCCCCTTCATTATAGAAAAGATAACTGAAACATACAATCCTTAATGGTGAAAGGGGGACTCTTTTGCTTCAAGAAACATCAAGTAGCACAGGACGAAAAAAGGGACTTCACCTTGCTCCATATCTTAATTTTAGACAGTTGTCTAGTGTAAATTTCTTTAGTCTAGTGCTGTAGTAGATGAATAATTCATTTCTTTTTAGTGAGATGACGTGGAAGTCGGCTTACGTACAGGTACCTAAACATCAGGCATAAAAGTATTGGTACAAGAAAAAAAAATAAATTATGAGGTTAAATTTATATTTATTATAGGACATTCAAAAATAATATATCACATGTCTTTAGTTTTCAATTAGCCTTCTTTGTGGATATCTTCAGGTCAAATTGTTTACAAAAAGCTGAAGGAGAGAACCGGCCAATACATTGCAAGGGGTCTTGTGAGGACAGAGGAGAGCAAAGAGAAACTCGGAGGCACAGATGATATTTTTGTCGGTGATATAAGAGAACCTAAAACTATTGCTCCTGCTATTGAAGGCATTGATGCACTCATAATTCTTACGAGTGCTGTGCCTAAGATGAAACCAGGTTTTGATCCCACAAAAGGTGAGCGTCCTGAATTCTACTTTGAAGATGGATCATTTCCTGAACAGGTGAGCTCTATTCTAAAATTTGAATGATTACATGATCTTTTCTTTAATCTAACTTATTGATAGTGTCTTATGTGTTTAGGTTGACTGGATTGGTCAGAAGAATCAAATTGATGCTGGTAAAAACTCTTGAACTAAAGTTCAATTTTGGTCAAAATCTCTGCTAAAAATATTGATCCTTTCAACATGTTTACAGCTAAAGCTGTTGGAGTGAAACAGGTTGTACTCGTTGGTTCAATGGGAGGAACAGATATAAATCATCCCTTGAATAGCATCGGGAATGGTAACATTTTGGTAAGTAATAAACTTTTGGTGTCCTTTTTCTGCATAATGATATTTTTAATGCACAGAAGATTTTAGGAGACAAATTTTAGTTTTCATCTCGATTCCTATAATGCCACTTTCTGTCACTTTGTCTTTTAAGGTGACCATACAGTGTGCCTTCTCCTTAATTTAAACCATGGATCAAGTGCTGAGTAATTATTAATTGAACCATGAACTATGTCATGTATGTCTAATGAAAATATAATTTTATAAGGTAGACTTTTCCTTCATATTGTATGGTTAATAACCATATTTTCCTTAGTTTCTTTCTTTTTGTTGTTAATATCTCAAATAAACTTCTTTGTAATCATTTCTATATTGATTCAGATACAGTATTGCATGTACTTTTTTTATACACTAAGTTATATATTCGTCTTGGAGTAACCTACTATGACGCTAAATTTTTTCTACGTGCAATATCAACTTAAAATGTTATATCCAAAGAAAAAGCCAAAAGTTGAAAAACCCAGGGTAACTAGAAGGAAGCACCACACTTTTTCTCATTCTTTTAAATTACATAAGAGACCATTTTGGCATATGTATTCATAACTTATAGATAAGATTAAAAATCAGATTATTAACTGAAACAACATTTATCTCATTTGCAGGTGTGGAAGCGGAAGGCAGAACAATATTTAGCAGACTCTGGACTACCATATACTATTATAAGGTGAAGCCTTGTAGTGCACCTCTTCTGAACCAATCTATGCTACCTGGGTACTTTGAATCTGAAGCCATACATTTTTTGGACATTATGTGCTATACTTCACATACTCTTCTTAAAACTCGTTAGATAGAGGTTAGGTTCCGAATTATGATTTTGAAGGATCTTTTGGATGTCTGGTTCAAAAACTAGCGATTTTCCAATTTACAATCCACATGATAAAAGAAACATACACATGTTACTAGGAATTTTAATTATCATCAATTTTCTCATATAAATTATTAATTTCAATATATAATATATGTGTATATAAATATTTATATAGCCGTGTTCCCGTACCCTACCTTCTACAAATTTTTTCATCTCATGTACGGGTACCGGTATCGGTACCCGTACCCATACCCATGCGACATAGGAGCCAATAGATACTGAACTAGGTCTTGCATTATGATATAAATCCATTGTATATATTGTTCTGCTTTTTCCAAATATACATGATAGTAATGCCTAAAGTAGTATTATTGCATTTATGCTATTGTTAGTTTCTTTAGAAGGGGGGAAAATGTAGAAATCCAGACAATTTTATCAATGCAGTTCGAAAATATGTTTCTTTATCCAGTCAAACCCTTTTCTAAGGAAATCTTCTTGATGTTCCCTTTGAAGGATTAATTAAAATATCCTTATCCATCCCGTATATATTGCCATCTTTTCCAGGGCTGGAGGCTTGCAGGATAAAGATGGAGGCAAACGAGAATTACTTGTGGGAAAAGATGATGAGCTTCTAGAGACAGAGACTAGAACCATTGCTTATATATATATATATATATGTGTGTGTGTGTGTGTGTGTGTGTGTGTGTGTGTTTTGACTAAGATATGGAAGTTGAAACTTTGGCCAACAAATCACAAAATTTCCACGTTTTTTGATAGAAAATGGAAAGGGACCACCTTGTTTCGTCATGAAGAGATAATTAAAACAAACGTCTCTGGTCCAAGATAACCAAAAAAAGAGTGAGTCTAGATACACATATTACTACAAGCACATGAACTAATAGCAACTGCGTAGATCACCTTTTGAGTGATGATTTATAATATGGTTAATTGCATATAGACCCCCTGTATTATCGTGTTTTGAACCCCATTTAGTTTGATTTGGCAGATAGACCCCACGGGTCAATTTTATTGACTCTTTTATCTTGTGTGCAATTTTGCCAGATATTACCCTTGGGTGAGATGAGTGAGTCTATTTAAGGGTAAAAGACTCAAAATTTCATCCGGGGGCTATCTTCCAAAATTTAACTGCATGGATAACTCCAAAGTGTGTTACCATCCTTTATAGTATGTATGCATGAACAATTAGTGACTTTGAGGACTTACATGGATGACTATGAGAAGACTATGAGAAGACCACCAAAGATTTGCATTTGCATTATACAAAAGTATCAAATGTTCCAGGTCCATGGATTAACAGTGAACCAAGAGGATGTCTAGCCCTAGATTGGTGGACTTGAAGATTGGTATAGCGGTCCAAGGATAGACATTCTTTTGGTACGTCATTAATTCAACAGACGAAGATATATGATACATAATGATAGTAACTGGTTGACACATGTTTAAACGGAACGTGTATCCTTTGATGCAACCATTTGAGATTGTCAACACGCATGTATCGCACTGAAATGGTTTACCTATTGGCAGGCATTGCAATTTGAGGAGGCAAAGTTCAAGGCATTTGATCTAGCTTCAAAGCCAGAGGGCACTGGCACTCCAACAACAGATTTCAAGTCTCTCTTCGCTAAAATCGCTACTCGTTTCTGAGCCTTTTTGTGTTGCCATTCAGTTTTCCTTTTTGAGTTGCAGTCACATGCGCAGGGATGTTTTTTGTTCTTGACGGCAAGTTGGAGATTTTCAAGTTGATTATGTATCTGTTATAAAGAAAGTTACTGTTTTTCTTAATAGAGCTGCTTTTCTGCTATGACAGCATTTTTTTTACATCAATGAACTTGTATTGCTGATATTCACTGTATCAAGCAAATTTAAGTGTTGCTGTGGTTTTATCTGGAGGCCAATTTGATATTAATTGGGTATTGATAAGCATACGAAT